TTCTGAGTGAAACGATGAATGTATTGATTTTAAAATGATGTGTGTTTTTTTTTTAAATTTTTTTTTATTTTTGTGTCTGTCATCACGTTTTAGGACAGTAAAAGTGCTTGGATTTTCTTCAACAGTATCTTTTCTGATAGGAAAGTGAATCTAGTTGGTACTTTGGGGGGTCAAAAATCAAAATTTCCCATTAGTTTTCAAAAGCGCCGTGAAAAACAATAGAAAAATTAAGGAAAAACGGGAATTTTTACGCAAAATCTGTTTTCGAGAAAATCGATTTTGGTTTTTGGTGCAACTCTTAAACAAATGACCGTAGTTACATGAAATTTTGACTGAATGTTTACATTAGCATTTTCTATACACGATAACATTTTCAAAACGTTTTGATTTATTTTGAACTGCTTAGGCACATTTTCATTTTCCATTTTTTTTTTAGTTTTTTTTCTAAAAATATCAATAAAATTGTATTTATTGAGTAAAAATACTTGAAAATTGAATACAAGGCTACTACTATATTATTTCAAAGGCAGATAAAAAATATTAAAAATCCTTAGTCACAGTTTTTTTTTACAAGCATTTAAAGTTCAAAAATTGACCAAATATGGAATAATCACGAAAATTAGCAAATTATTTTGAGTTAAGAATTCGTAAAAATTTTTCTTTTTAAATCTAAATACATTTAGATTTTTAAATGTAATACAAGATTCCTTATAAGATTAAATACCTTTATAAAAAAAAAATGTCTATATGAAAGTCAAATTAAATTTTTATGAGCGTTTGAAACTCAAATTTTTACAACATTGGATATTCCCTCGATTTCTCATGTAGCGATTTCCTTATTTTGTTGTAATTCAAAAACGAATAACTGTAGATACATGAAAATTTCACTGAATGTTCATATTAGCATTCCCTATACACTGTACAATTTTGAAAATGTTTTGACTCTTTTTGAGCTATTTACGGACATTTTCAGTTTTCAATTTTTTTATTTTTTAGATTCTGAGTGAAACGATGAATGTATTGATTTTACAATGATGTGTGTTTTTTTATTTTTTTTTTTATTTTTTTTTTATTTTTTTTTTTATTTTTTTTTTTATTTTTTTATTTTTTTTTGTGTCTGTCATCACGTTTTGGGACAGTAAAAGTGCTTCGATTTTCTTCAATAGTACCTTTTCTGATAGGAAAGTGAATCTAGTTGGTACTTTGGGGGGTCAAAAGTAAACATTTTCCAGTAGTTTTCACAAGCGCCGGGAAAAACAACATAAAAATTAAGGAAAAACGGGAATTTTTACGCAAAATCGATTTTCCAAAAAATCGAATTTGGTTTTTGGTGTAACTTTAAAACAAATGACCGTAGATACATGAAATTTTCACTGGTTGTTTATATTTGCATTTTCTATACACGATAACATTTTCAAAATATTTTGATTTATTTTGAACTGTTTAGGGACATTTTCATTTTTCATTTTTTTTTAGTTTTTTTTTTAGAAATATCAATAAAATTTTATTTGTTGGTTGCGAAAGCTTGAAAATTTAATAGAAGGCTCCTAATATATTGTTTCAAAGGCAGATGAAAAATATTAAAAATCCTTAGTCACAATTTTTTTTTATAAGCATTTAAAGTTCAAAAATTGACAAAATATGGAAAAATCACGAAAATTAGCAAATTATTTTGAGTTAAGAATTCGTAAAAATTTTTCTTTTTAAATCTAAGATTTGAAAATGAAACACAAGATTCCTTATAAGATTATCTACCTTTATCAATAAAAAAATCTCTACCGGAAAGTCAAATTAAATTTTTATGAGCGTTTGAAATTCAAATTTTTACTACATTGGATTTTCACTCGATTTCTCATGTAGCGATTTCCTTATTTTGTTGTAATTCAAAAACGAATAACTGTAGATACATGAAAATTTCACTGAATGTTTATATTAGCATTTCCTATACACCATACAATTTTGAAAATATTTTGACTCTTTTTGAGCTGTTTACGGACATTTTCAGTTTTCAATTTTTTTAGTTTTTTTTTTTATAATTGTCAATAAAATTTTATTTGGTGGGCCAAAAAGTCTGAAAATTTAATAAAAGCTTTCTTATATATTGTTACAATATCAGTTGAAAAATTTTAAAAATACATAGGCACGATTTTTTTTTATAAGCATTTAAAGTTGGAATTTTGACAAAATTTATCAAAATCTCGAAAATAATCAATCGTTGGAATTAAAAAATTATAAAATGTTCAGTTTTTATAACTAAGAGTTGAAAATTTAAAACAAAGATTCTCTTAAATAATTCATACTGTAACCAAAAAATCTAAAAAATATATAAACACACTTATTTTTTACAGACATTTTAATTTCAAATTTAGACAAAATTTCATATTTAAACCAAGAATTACGATTTTAGTTATTTTGTTGTGATTGTATAATATTATTCGTGGGTACTTGAAATTTTTAAAGTAATCTACTATATATATCTATGATAGTATCAGGGTTTGTTGTTGGTGTATAACGCGTTATAAGTACCTAATGGATATTGTGATATGATTAATTTGGAATTCATTATAGGTCAATTTTTTTTAATACCATAGATATGTATATAATATGTCTTATACCTAAAAGGACATACCGTCTCCGCTCAGAATCGTTTTTCTTATACAATGATATTATATCATTGAATTCAAATTTAATACCATCCATTATACAATGACCCACTTGTAACCTACTGTACAGCAGAGCGACACCCACTTGCCCACCTTTTTTTTCTATAAATATCATAAAAGTTTTATCTGTTGGTCCAAAAAGTGTAAAAATTTAATACAAGGCTCCTGATATATTGTTCAAATAGCAATTGAAAAATATTAAAAATACATAGGTAGGGACAATTTTTTTTATAAGCATTTAAAGATCGAATTTTGACAAAATTGATCAAAATCTCGAAAATTATCAATCATTGTAATTAATAAATTATAAAATGTTCAGTTTTTATGGCTCAGGATTGCAAATTTAAAACAAAGGTTCTCATAAATAGTTCATACTGTAACCAAGAAATCTAAAAAATATATGAACACAGTTATTTTTTACAGACATTTTAAATTCAAATTTGGACGAAATTACATAATAAAAAAACCTAGAATAACTATTTTAGTTATTTTGTTGTGATTGTATAATATTATTGGTGGGTACTTAAAACTTCTAAAGTACACTATTATATATCTATGATAGTATCAGGGTTTGTTGTTGATGTATAACGCGTTATAAGTACCTAATGGATATTGTGATATGATTAATTTGGAATTTATTATAGGTACCTATTATAGGTCAATTTTTTGTTTAATACCATAGATATGTATATAATTTGTCTTATACCTAGTCTTACATACCGTCTCCGCTCAGAATCGTTTTTCTTATACAATGATATTATATCGTTGAATTCAAATTTAATATCATACATTATACAGTGACCCACTCACCCACTTGTAACCTACTGTACAGCAGAGCACCTTTCTTAGTTTACATCAGTTGGTTAAAACTTATTAATATATTATACTAACTGGTCCCATGCACTTATCGCCTATTAAAAATCCTAACTCTACATGAATAATATGGTTTATTTTATAATATAACGGTTAAAATAGGTATGTTACGTAATAACTAGTAATATCGTTACAACAATATTCAATTTATTTTGGACCATAATGTATTTTTATTCACTATATCGAGAAAAGTCAGACAATTCAAGTTTTTGATTGAATGCTATTTATTAAAGTGCATATTTGGATACACAATATTTTTTGTTTTTCCTTCTATGGTGTGTACACACATAAATCCAAAGGTTTTCGGTAGCTTGAGCAGGCCACATACAGGCATACAGCTGTCCATTTTTTTTTGATTTTCAAAGACATTATTACGTGATATTACCTTTTTCTGTTCTTTCAGTGATAATCAAAATGCCTTGGAATAATAATAATAATAATAATAATTATTATTATTAAGACCAGTAGTAAAAATTTATAAACAAGCATTTCCATCGTAAATCTCCAAACCCCTGTTATTTGACTATTCGAACAACTCCCCTTGTCGGACCTCTAATTTACCCTTTTTAAATTATCCTATCTTATTATTTCCAGAGGTCTAATCTATCTCTGTACCAAATTTCATCGCAGTCTAATGAACTGTTTAGGAATGAAAGGACACACACACAGACATTCATTTTTATAGAATATATAGAATTTCGATTACCTTCTATACCTACTATTTTTGTACTTAGTATTGTATATAATTTTATATTATATATTTTTGGCTTTCACTTTTCTTTATCGCATAAACAACATTAAGTACAGTAGCATTAGAAATGAATCTCCCAATTATAGGTAGGTACATAAAACCCGAGAATGAAAAGATTTTATGTAGTATTGTAGCTCAATGTTCAAATATAAAATGTAGTACCTAACTATAATTTAACTACTTTAAAGGAGCACACAACACAAAAAATAAGTTTTTTTTATTTGAAAGAATGTTCAATTCTAAGGATAATGGTATAGGTTTTACGTTTCTACTCACATTATTCAATAAGTTATGAGCAATTGAAAAAAGACGTGTGACGTCACTGGGCCTCAGTCATCGTAATCGCCTATCTTATACGTGTAAAAGTTCCTCTCTTCACACAACGATTTATCAACCTAAACATTTTATTTTTGCAATTTAATTTACATGTAAATATGTGGTTTTATGTGTTTAAGACGATGCAAGTATCAGAATTGCAATACGATGTTTAGTTTTTTAAATATTAAAAATCTTAAAATAGACATTTTTGTTAAACGGCACGTCATGGCAAGCGGCGCGTGGCGTTCGAACAACGGGTCCGCCGACCGCCGCTATCTTATCTAATTCTACGTATTTTACACACTACACACCACGATTAATTTATATTTACTATTTAATATTACCTACACTCGTTAAAGTATGTACCAAAACGTATACATTTTCCATACAACGGTATGGTACTGAGATCAAAATTAGCCATTATGGACCACAACGCTAACATCAATAAAGAACTAATTGGCGATAAGGCACAGTTTTCAAAAGCAACGGGAAGTTGGGTTTTGAAAAATAAATACGCCAAATCTACTAATATCTGGAAATACGATATAATGGAAAAAGTAGAAAAATTTTGCACTAATAAAAATACCAACGATATTAATTCAATTCCAAAAGTAGCTCATGAAGTTGTAGTGCCAGATCGTATAGCACAAATTCCAAAACCCGCAATAGAAGAATTGAAAAAAAATAAGTTTTCTCGATTTTCACAAGTACCTACCTAAAATTTAAAATAACGTAGGTAAGTTTAATTTAAATAATTGCTAAAAATAATTTATCTATAAATACCTTTTTATTTTATTCAATACCTTTACCAAACTACATAAACAGTAAAATCTAGTAAATAAATTAATATTATATTTTTTTTTCTTAATCAGGATTTTTTTCACTTGGACGGAATCCTACATAAACGCCGTTTTTTTCCGGAAACACACTTCTGATCTTGGCAATTGAACATGATGGAATCACTACTCGGTTCCCTTTTCCAATTGTGGTCCACGCATTTATCCAAGATGTAAAATTTTTGTAAGCTAAATACCTCCATAATTTATTTTCAGCTTCATCTACACTTAGCAGTTGTCTTTTAGTTTTATTTTTAGATTTTAAAATTAATTGATGGCGTGTTATAGTTAGTACATCTTTGTCTAAAACTAATTTTTCAAATAAATTGTTCTGTGTTATACACTCATAATTACCGGCTAAATGTTTTATTTTATCATATTCTTGACAACACATAGACTCTTGATCTGTTGTCATAACTACACATTTTTCACAACTACACCAATTACGAGTTCCACTTCGATTTTCGTAATTCACATATTGTATACCATGATACTCCAAAACAGTATCAATTTCATCGTCATTTTCATATTCAGGCTCAAATAAATAAGCACTAGTCATGGTGAGAATTTTAATTTAGAAAATATTACACTAGTGAATAGTGAATACGTTGCCCAACTGTCGAACACAGACTGAACGCTGGTAATCAGTAATCCCACGATATACATTCAACAAAAATTTAAAAATATAACGTAATAATAAATAAATGTGTGTGTAAAATACGTAGAATTAGATAAGATAGCGCCGCGCGGCGGTCTAGGTTAGACCGTAGTCCGAACGCCGCGCGCTGCTCGCCATGACGTGCCGTTTAACAAAATGTCT